GCCTCTCTGCAAGTGGGGAATTAAAAGCTTCAAGACTAGAAATTGCAAATTCATCTGCTGTGGTAAGACTTCAAGGAATATATACATGTCATTTTTCTTCAGTATAGAAAGGAGTGGGTTTTTTGCTAGCAAGGGAAATATTTAACTTTTTTTTTTCCTGTTTGTGTATTTTCATACTAACAAAAAAATATATAGCCTGAGGTTTCTATTTTTCATTAGTACTTTTCTGCACATGTGCTAAAATTACTACCTAAATAAAATACCACAGTGTTCCTCACAAGAAAAATCAGTGTAGTTATCAGGAACACTGAACTTTCTGAGCTTATTATAAATGCAAAAAGTATATAAATTGATTTCTTGTAATCTCCTTCAGATTTGCAAGAGGACCTATTCATTACTTGCTCACACCACAAATTGGGTTTTGTTAGATAACTACTTTCATGTCCTTGTGTTAGTTATATTTAATTTACATGCACCCATTTCCTGAATAATATTTTTAAAAGGCTTGATTTGTATCCATTTGTCTTTGAGCTATAGAAAAATAAGCAGGCTGAGCAAAATACCAAGGCCCTGCAAGATGTTAGCTTGTCTAAGTAGCTTTTATCTGAATATCAAAGCAACGTTTTGCCAGTGTCCCCTCACAAAGGTAGAAAATTGCATCTCTAAAAGTGCTAGGTAAAGAACCTTTCTATTGCTGGGAAGCAGGTGGTCTGGCAACCCTGGAAACTGAGTGGAAAATACCTGTCCATACCTCAGAAACTCTGCTGATGAACTGAAGCTTTGACAGCTGCCTCAGAAATGGAGTGAAGGGGTGGCTCCTCTCGAGGAGGCACCGGCCAGGCTGGCCGCGCCGTACGGATAACACGTGGCAGGCTTGTCCTCTGCACTGCCATCTGCCATCACGCAGCAACAGGGGAACTTGGGCAATTAATGAATGAGTGCTTCCTTTAAAGGTTCCTGTAGTGCTTTTTTCTTCTCTAGCCAAAGTAAGTTTATTAACTCCAGCAACCTGGCCAGGTGCCAGTTTGGAAACTATCCTGTCATCTGACTTGTGTTTTTCCTGCACAGTCAACTGCGTGCAGAGAAGTTCTTAATTTTGTGGTCTCGACCCTGACTCTAGAAAGATTTTTGTCTATTCAGATGCTGATATTGCACCTGGGAGCAATGAGGCAAAGAAAGTGTGGTACAGGTGCAAAGGCCCTCAAGGGCTGATTTCCTAAAGCACCCAAACCATGTTCCCTTTAGCAGTCATAGTGGTAACCTTTTGCCCTAGGAAGTACTGCATTTTGTTGCTGGATAAATGGACCCCTTTTCAATAATCCTGAAAAACATCCCATAAAATCAAGAGCAGCATCACCTCTATTTTTGGCAATGGTAGTAATAAACATACTCTGCCTACTTACACTGACTACACATTCTTCAAGATTTTACAAGTAAAAATGAATGCATTGTCTTCTCTTAATACAACAATCGAGATTAATTAGAATGCAGTCAGTTTAGAGAGCTGTACTTCTTGACAGTGTCAGTTTGATTTTACATTTGAAGCTTATCTGTAATTCTGATATTTGTTTATTACAAATAATTGGCTTCAGAGATTGCATTCAACAAAACCTGTTATGGTGAAAGAGGGTGATTTCACCTTAGGTTAGATTAGATTAGATTAGATTAGATAAAACTTTCAGAACAAATTTTCTAATGTGGTGTTGGTGAGGCACTGGCACACACACAGAAGTTATGGATGTCCCATCCCAGCAGGTGTTTAAGACCAGGTTAGATGGGGCTCTGAGCAACCTCCTCGTCTAGTGGAGTGTCCCTTCCTATGTCAGTGGGGTTGGAACTAGAAGATCATTAAAGTCTCTTTCAACTCAAACTGTTCTGTGATTCTATCTGATTTTTTTTTTTTTACTGACTGCACAGAGAAGCAAAACAATATTGTTTTTCCAAACTGCCATGTCAAAGTGTCAAGAAATAGACACAATGGTTTGTCATGCACACACCTTGGCACATACATTGCCAAGAGGGAGGCAATCTACCTCCTTTCCTCTCAACTGCACATGGCCATGGCAAATGCTTCTTGACTCAGAAAAAGAAACAAAAACAGAAATAAAAGCAGGTTTAGAGAATGAAACATCAGTGCAGGTTGCAGAAATAAATTAAAACTGATTTTTATTTGATCTTGTTTATCTCTACACTCCTGAAACCGAATGCCAGGATGAGTACAGAGAGTGCTCTCCAGCTGGCCTGGACAATCTGCCAGCACACTCCCCGCTGAAGGGCATGCTGCCACCCTGTCTCACTGCCACCCTATTTCTTCAAGCCTCCTACTCATGGAGTACCAGCAACATACCTGTGAATATGTGGCACAGAGAATTGTCTTTTGAACTCCAGGTGAAATCACCAAGCTCCTTCAAACATTCCAACATAAGAAATGAAGGTGTTTGGCTGCAGATCACAATGCTTAGTGAAGGGAAGACCTTTTGGACAACTATCACCTAACCACAAAGTAAAGTCTATGGTCTGCCAGTGATGGTGCAGGTGGTTTTATGCCTGAAAATGGAGTATTTATATTTCAAGTGCTTAAAATTGTTTTCTTTCTTTAAATTAACCTTACACATTAAAGTAAAACTAATAGTATAATTCTAAAATCATCTGTCTCCCTGCAGAGAGGAAGATTTACTTTTACTGTAGCATAGTCCCAGTTCAAATAAGCATTAAGTTGCAGTCAGTGCAGTTTACTACATGGAGCTGCTGTTCATCACATGCCTGTGATCATCACATGTTGGGAAGGCAGAGACACAGCATTACATTTCCATGCCAAAAACTCATCTTGCAACTGGGCATCCCAGGAGTGATGTTGTGAACTCAGTGCTTTCCCTGTCTCACTGTGGCTCCAGATGCGGGGCGCCCAGAGGAACCAGGGCAGACATTCCCAAGCTTCCAGCATGATAAGCCAATAACAGTTACTGGGAGTGTTGATTTAGAGGCACATATCTAAGGTGTTCCTGTGGGTCTCTGTGATCACTTGCTATCTGGGAATCATCATGAAATCAGTGCCATAGGACACAGACATCTTGTGTAGGCAAAACAGAATGCATTCACAGGCTTTTATTTTAAGTAAGCTAATAAAATACTACTCAAGCCTACACTTCACAGCAAAATACCCAATCTTTTGACAGAAAATCCAGATTTACTATTTTTCTCCAGCTTGGAAATCTACAAGAAAGAAAGATTCTGACAGCTGCAGATTTCACACGTGTCAAAGGCACAAGCCCTGCTCTTACAGATGGATTGCATTGAAACACGCCTTTTGTTAAAAGACAGAAAATTAAAGGAGCATTTAATCATGCTCTGACAGGCTTCTTAGCCCAAGGCTAGTACCCTGAGTCCTGTAATAATTCCTGAACTCGTACACTGGCTTACAGCAGGTGGCCACAGAGGTCTCAGGCAGTGGAAGTGCATTAATTGTGGGGCCAGCTCTCTAGTTTAATAATAAGAAACATGTTAATACTACTCCTTGCCATAAAAGCAATAATAAGCAATGCAAGGACACACTCATAATTATTTTCAATTACTGTGCAAATAGTCCCTTAGCAGCTCACTCTGAAATTTTTAAGTGCTAATCCATTAGCTGTTTTTCATCTTGATAAAATAAATCAGATGTAGAAATCTTTTTGGAATTAATATTTATTGGAAGCAATAGTTCCAAGAACTTCCAAGCATAAGGATTAGTTACTGCAGAGATGATCAAGAATTTTGTTAAAGCTGCTCTTCCCAAACTTTTAGATTGGTTGGATCTTTGAACACTTTCAAAAATCCGGTTCTTAATCTGACTTTAGACATCATAAGTGTAAGTGAATACATCTTAATCTCCTCCTTCCAAATTTGCCCCTCATAACCCTAGAGATTAGCTTTTATTCTCAGGAGTTGTTTTAGAAATCTTTATTTAGAATGTTTTAGAAATAGTACATAATTTCAGGAACATGCAATCCCCACTAAAAATGAAAAGAGAAAGGGAAGGGAAGGGAAGGGAAGGGAAGGGAAGGGAAGGGAAGGGAAGGGAAGGGAAGGGAAGGGAAGGGAAGGGAAGGGAAGGGAAGGGAAGGGAAGGGAAGGGAAGGGAAGGGAAGGGAAGGGAAGGGAAGGGAAGGGAAGGGAAGGGAAGGGAAGGCTGAAAGACACCTTTTACATGGGTTAAGTAAGTAGTCATGAACATTAAAAATGAAAAAAAAATAAACAAGTAGGCCTTACATGCTTTTCTAAAAGCTAAAAATACCACTCCTTCCCTTTGCAAGGATTTGTTAAGAAATATTTGCATGACCCTAAATTATCTGAAGTTCTTAGTGTAAAGCAGTGTAATGCCACATTATAAAATGTCATTCAAGTACCTTGCAAACATAATAAAAATGAAGACTCAGAGCCTTCATTGAAACTCAGGTTTCATTCATACTCCTCTGCACAGTCATCAGCAGTGATTCTAGGCATGGCATTAGGAAAAGAAATCCTGTACCCTAAACTTCATGACCTAGAGTTAAACCAATCACAAGTGTGTAGGCTCCAAGGTTCCAAAGATTTGATTTCAAATTAGTGCATGCCCAGAGTTTGAATACAACCCTCATTTACTGCAGCAGATGTCAGCTAGTAGCTGTGTTACATCTACATTAGAGGGGCCTTTGCTGACACCTGGTTGGCAGAAATCCTTGCAGATAACATGGAAACTGAATAGTTTGGTATTTTGCTTTCCCTAAATGCACACACATCAGAGGCAGTGGATTGTCAGGTCCTAGATTTCCCCTACACTCTTCCTTTCCCTCAGCCCTACACAGAATTTTTTTCAGCACCCCCTGGTGCTTTGAATCAGAAACAACACCTCTCTAGTATTCCCTCTTCCAGCCGTGAATTCCAGAGCAGCCTTTTATGGGAAGACTTCGGTTGCAATTTCTGACTAGATGGGAAGCTGGAGTAGGGTAGGGTAGAGCAGGCGCTGCTGGTCCCTGTACCTGCAGGTCTGCAGGCATCAGGTTGCAGGCCCTGTCAATCACATCACATCACATTTTTCCCTGTTTCCTGACACTTCAAACGGGGCCACTCTATGTTTGACATGAAACATCAAACGTGGCAGGTGAGTTTCCTCAAGCCACTCTCTTTGATGACATGCTCTGAGTGTCTTCTGGCTTTATGTCCCCTGCTTTATTTCACCAGCATGCAAAAAAAAGTTTACATTTATGTTTGGACTCTGAATATTTCTACCCTTTTTCCTGGTGTGGGGGTTTGGGGAATTGTTTTTTGTTTGCCTGTTTGTTTGGTTGGTTTTTAGGCTTAAAGGGTCAAGGCCAAAAGTAAATTAAGATGACACTAGCAATTTTTCCCTTCTGCTGGTCAGATCCAAATGCTCTGAATGCTCCCAAAGAAATCAGTGCAAGCACTAGGGCTGGGAACTTAAGTAGAAACAATTCCAGGCTCATCTGGAGTTCATCTACTGGTCTGGTCTGTAACCACTTGTTTTCCTTACTTAACATCACTGCCTATTAGAGAAAAAATTGTGTGTGCAGAGTCTGGAGGAAGACGTCAGCTGATTTCAAAGCAGTTACGACAGCCTGTGGGTCTAATTGAGGTGCTTTCCCTGAATTGCACAAGCCTGCGGAGCAATCTGACTCTCTGTGTCCTACAAAGTCAGGAAGCTTTGCAAGAGAGGGCAAACAGGAATGGCAATATGCCCAAGTGCCCATGTTTATAGAAGCCCTGGAGAGCTGTTGACCCAGTGCATGTGACTCCAAGAGCTGGCTCACTGGTCAGCCTGCCTCCTCCTCAGAGGAAACAGTGTGCAGCAGAGCAGGCTCATCCAAACAGAGATGGAGCCTGCACTCCACATGCAAAATGTGACTGTGCAAATGACGTTTTCCATGCCTTTCTTGTCACTTCCTGCAGGAGCCACGCAGCTAGCAAGGCAAGAGGCAGAAGGAGAATGCTGTGAGCCCATTAGGTTTGCATTGCCTGTGATGTGGCACCGCTAAAAAGGACGAGCATTGACAGCACTGTACAAGGTATTTTTAAAGTTATTTCCAACCTTATGGCCTGGCTAGTGATAAAAGCACAGACTCATTGAGTGACAGCCAACAAACTTTTGCTGCTCCCATGATGCCATGAGCAGGGAGACAGCTGGCAGCACCTAAGATGGTGAAACAGCACATAAGGCTGGCATGTGGCCCTCACCACTGCTCTTGTCCTGGCTTGGCAAAGCTCTGTATCTGCCTTACTCATATCCACATTTCTGTCTGACGTGAACCACTCCCTTCTTGCAAATATAAATGGTCTGGGCTGAGGTATCACTTGTCATGCAGGTGAAACCCAGTAAAATACTTTCAGAAATATTTGCTGTCATTTTGACAACCGAGACCAGTAGATCAGAAGGAAGAAATGTATTTCCATCTTCATCACCATTACTAAAATCTGGTCCGCATTTAGTCATCTGCATAGACAAGCAGAGTCTAGCCCTGATAGTTCATTAAAGAGAAATCTTATTAACAGTGAAGACCTCTTAAAAGAAAATCAAAGTGAAAGCTGAATGCAGTATGTTTCTGTGTGCCCCCTAGGAACTGTTATTTCTATGTTTTGTAATGTTTCTTTAAGAGTCTCAGGAGCCACTGTATATCTGCAGCTCATCTTATACAGGGAAAAGGCTCTAAATAAGTATGAAGTAGAAGGTGTAGCTCATTGAAACAAAATAGTTATTTTATCTAATGTAACAGAATAAATGTGATCTAATGTAAATGCATAAAAGACTATGATATATAATATCTATAGTTTCTACGTACAACTGAGAACCAATGATATCAACTTACTCACTGCTGTGCTAGGAGGAAGAAAACTAAGTATTCCTTCAACATTTAATTTAGGGACTAAAAATTCTTTAAGCTTTATAGAACCATGGGGCCAAAGGTAGAACCCATGCTAAGGCACCACGTCAAGTCAGTGGAAATCCATGCTCAGTAACTCAGATCCTGAAGCAGTGAAGCATCTTCTTTTCTTCTTCTTTTTGCCCCTCCTCCAGTCAGAATTTTTTCTTTACCAATGTGATAATCTTTATACGCCATCCTGCAAGTGGCTGAGGCACTTCATCATTTCTCTGGCACTGGGTAGGTGCAGACACCCCTTTTCAGCAAAGCTGGGGTGCTACTAAGAGTACAAATATTTCTTCCTAGGGACAAAAGAGCTGAAACCTCTTTAGAGATATTCTTCACTTTGATACCCACACTAGTCTTTAAAAAAAAAAAATCCTTCAAGCTGTCATTTCCACATCAATCATGCATAATGTTATGCTGAGTTAAAAATGCATGGTGACCAGTTAGGTACTTTTTTCTGACTGTCCTATTCTCACCTGTTTTAAAGGAAAATGCCAAATGCTGAGTCATAAAACCAAGACAGTTTAGAGAAGAAAAAAACAACTATTTAAGTGTTAATTTTGGATGTGTCTAAAAAATAATTTCGCAGTTGTACCTCTGCACCACTTCTCAGTGCTTATTTGCAGGGTAGCTGATAAAGCAGAAATCATCCATTTTTGGAACAATGGGGCCCGTTAATAGTGGTTGCATCAAATGAAAATGCTAGGACACATAATTAAAGCATTATCCCCTGTATTTGCTGAGGAGCGCAGGACCTCTAAGGTGTGGCAACAAGGCTTATTTTTATCGAGATTACCTTGCTAATGTACATTTAGCAGTTAACATCTTAAGTGGTTTCACACTTAATTTTGCAATCTGCAGTTTTTGTGCTTCTCCTGTAAGCACACACCAGCCACATCACCAGCCCAGCATAACTACAGCATTCTCATCCTGGCAGTGGGCTCTGGTGAGATACTGTCTAAAGGCAGGTGGGATTTACTATGCCAGTCAGATATGTCATGTACTGCAACGAAAACAATGGCGTGCATCATGCTACATTTATGATGTTGTCATTCTATCAGCTTTTCTTTTGTCAGAATTAAAAGGTAAGAAGAAAAGCATTGGTGAGGAGTAATGCAGACCATAGAAGAAAAGGACACGTAGAATCTCACAGAGAAGGTTTCTCAGCTCGACTTCAAAGCTAACCATGCATTGTTCATGCACAGTACCTGCACAGTAATTCATCACTGGTACCTTGAAAATTTTTTTATTGCTACCCATTTAAACTTAATCATGTTTCACATACTGTCATGAAATTTCACAGGACTTTGTGTATTTGTTAATGTGCAGCAGAAATCACTGCTGTCAGCTGTTTTCTGACATAATTTTTGCCAAAACAAATGTGTTGCGTTTTATGACATTCAGATGTGATACAACAGGTCTGAGAAGAATGAAAGTGATTTTACGGGTAATCGTGGGTTGTAAGGTCTTTCATAACTCCATTTCTACCATGAGGATACAGGCACTCTGCAAAGGAGTCCCCTCATTGTGTTTGCCTCAAAAAGATAAATTGGTTTTTATACTGCTAAGAAAGACACTTTGCAAAATTGCATTACCATAGAAGAAAAGCAAGAGAGAGGGGAAAAAAGAACAGCTGGATTTCAAAGGTCAACATTTTCTCAGCAGTGGAGGTAAAATGCTGTGTTCATTTGTATTTCAAAGTTATCAAGTATTTACAGTTATGAAGTATTTAATTAGAAGTGTTATGTACTGGACATATTTTGTTGGTTTGGGGTATATTTTATCATTGTAAATTGTTTTTAAGAAGTGTCAAAAATTACTGCACCTGTGACAAGCATTCATTATGTGCTAACCTTAAAAGGAAATGTGAGCATGTGGATGTGCAGCATTTGTGCATAAAAAATACAGTAGAGACATTATCTAAGTTCAAGTGCATGAGTTGCTAATTTTTTGTGGCTCTGTGTAAACATGGGCATGTTAGACTTTCAAACTCCAGAAGGCACCTTAAATACTCTGGGTCTTGTTACAGAAACATAGTTATCTAACAATTTTTTAGGCTTTGGAGGTTCTCTGAGATGTCTGAATAGGCTGACAGATGGTGCAAGACCTCTGTGCCCTTCTGGGAGCAACTGGGAGGCCCCCAGACAAGGCTCATTAGCATGTCAGATAGCACAGGATGACTGCACGGAGGGAATGAAATCCCAGCCTCCCATGTCCACCCGCCAAAATCCAGCTCTCTCGCAACTGGCCTTTTCTCCTATTGACCTCTGATGCCCCCAGTTCATTAAGCCAGAGCTGAAGGACAGACTACTGGCACTCCACATAGTGGAGTGGGATTGGAAAGCAGCCATTCCTGAGCTGGAGAGCTTTCTGATCACACTGTATTTACAGGGGAAGTTAGTCCTGGAAGCCACAATTATGTAAACAAGCTTTTCTAATGAATCTCTTTCCAAGCCAAACCTCTAGATAAACCCTGAACTTTAACTTTACCTGTTACACAACTCAGAGTAAAGCTCAAATCCATTAAATTGTCTTGTTATGAACACTTAGTGTTTAAACTTTGAAGATGTAACATGTTTAAATCCCTAAGAGCGAATCAGAAAACCTTCTCCCTCTGAAGCCTCCAGACTAGCAGCTAGCAAGATAATACATCCCTGCTCTCTGTACAGTAACAGGCCAGCCAAAAGTGTAACATGTCTTTTATTGCATTAAGGTATCAAGGAATTAAATGAAAATGGGCACTTTATGTCAGCATAGCAAAGGCCCAAGACATAACTGCTCAAGCTGACTAGAAAAACTGAGTATTTAAAAGGCATCTATTTTCTTCGCCAAGTATGTGTCTATGGTATGACACCGAAGCATATTTAGCCCTTCTACAAAATAGAGTCTGTGAACCACATGTCGTCTTGTAGAGATGGGTGAATGTCTCTCACTGAAAATTTTAGCTGCGAACATATTACTGAGGGGTTCTAGAGAAACCCTGTTACTACTGTCAGTATTTTAGCATTAAGGACCTGGATTCCCTAAAACTGGGCCAGCACATGGCTGTACTATAGACACAAAAATAGACCCGTGCTTGTTATCCAACACAATAAACATGCACACTCATATCCAGCCTGTTGGGCAGCAGACAGATGACCTCAGACTCAAAGCCATGATCCTGCCTGATGCACCCTTAATTCTCAGCCGCCTTTAATACAGGACATGGATCAAGCAACAGGATGTACTGAGGTTCTCATTTCATTGTTGCAGGCAGCTAGCCTGCTGTGATTCCATAAACGCCTTGATAGGGATGAACCTTTACACCATAAATAATCTGTAAAACCACTTCCAGTAAACTTTCTCTCACCCAGAGAGACTATATGCTGAATTAAGATCACTCACAGAAACGTGTTAAAATTAGCCTTAGGGAGAGTTAAAGTGAGCAACCCAAGTTTACAAATCTTTAGGCATAATTTAAATAGTTCAACACTGCAGTCCAATCTACTATGACTCCAGTTTCTGACTTTGTCCTCAGCAATGGTTTTGACAAAATTAGGATGGTGATGTCAGGTAACCCCAAAAGAAAGTAAGATGTGGCAGGTTTCAGCAGAAGGGTCCAGCCATTCAGGGTTCAGCCCCACCACACAACGTGAAACATCCTCCATGCCACAAAGAAAATGTGTCCTTCAACCTCTGCTGCTCCTTGGAGCACTTTTGCTGCAAGGAGAGCTCCTTCTGTTTCCCCCTAGGCATCTGAGAAGGCATTTTTGCCTAAGTTTTGTCCAGGCTGGGCACACTGAACTGCACACAGCATAGATGGGCCAGACACATGTTAGTCATTTCACCTGTTAGCTAACAGGGCTGGAAAGGCTTCCAGTAAGTCTGTAAGGCACCAGGCCAGGAATGTGGTGACCAGCACAGCATGGCAAGGTAGTCCAAAAACTGCTACTTGATCATACTGTCACATGTCTTGTGTGTGTGTACAAGCAGGAGGGCCCAGCAGAAGGGAGAAGAGACAAATAGCCATTGGATAGGTTTACAATAACAAACCAGCTTCGTAATCCCCTTCTCAGATTACAGCTACCAAATTTCCTACAATCAGGTTCTGACTCTTATACAGGCTGCAAATTCATGCAAATCCTGAGTCACTGTTTGGCAGA